ATATACTGCAAAATCCCCATTCCCTCCCCACCCCACTAACCTGCTTTCCAGCTCCGTTCTCCTGTGCAGGGCAACCAAAGGAGACCCAGCCGATCAGCTAGGACTCAATGGGAGGCAGAGAAGAGATGGGGTTGGCGGGGCCAGTCAGAGGTGGGATTTGCTGGTTCTCCGAACTACTCAACATTTCTGCTCCCGGTTCTCCAGAACCTGTCAGAACTGGCTGAATACCACCTTTGGAAACATTGGATTAAGCCAGGGATCCCCAAACTTCTCCAGCCAGCTATACTGTAAGTTTGGCGACCTTTGCACTAAGTCAGTGCAGGGAGCTACAGTGGTTAGAATAGCAATAGCACTTAGACTTATATCCCGCTTCACAGTGCTATCCAGCCCTAAGCGGTTTACAGAGTCAGCCTCTTGCCCCCAACAATCCGGGTCCTCATTTTACCCACCTTGGAAGGATGGAAGGCTGAGTCAATCTTGAGCCAGTCAGGATCGAACTCCTAGCAGTTGGCAAAATTAGCCTGCAATGCTGCATTCTAAGAGGGAGGAAGGGAGGGAGGGAGGGAGGGAGGGAGGGAGGGAGGGAGGGAGGGAGGGAAGGAAGGACACCTAGACTTATATCCCACTTCACAGTGTCTCTAAGCGGTTTACAGAGTCAGCCTCTTGGCCCCAACAATTTTGGCTCCTCATTGTACCGACCTCGGAAGGACGGAAGGCTGAGTCACCCTGGAGCCTGGTGAGATTCGAACAGCCAAATTGCAGGCAGCCGACAGCAGAAGTAGCCTGCAGTACTGCACTCTAACCACTGCGCCACCGAGGCTCAATGCAACATTGCAGGCTGATTGCTGGCTGCCAGCAGTTTGATCCTGACTGATTCATGGTTGACTCAGCCTTCCGTCCTTCTGAGGTCAGTAAAATGAGGACCCAGTTTGTTAGGAGCAAGATGCTGACTCTGTAAACCGCTTAGAGAGGGCTGTATAAAGCCTTGAAGTGCTATATAAGTCTAAGTGCTATTGCTCTTTTATTCCATTCCATTCTGCCATGATGGCGCAGTGGTTAGAATGCAGTATTGCAGGCTGACTCTGCCCACTACCAGCAGTTCGATCCTGACCAGCTCAAGGTTGACTCAGCCTTCTGTCTTTCTGAGGTGGGTAAAATGAGGACCCAGATTGTTGACGGCAAGAGGCTGACTCTGAAAACTGCTTAGAGAGGGCTGTAAGCACCATGAAGCGGTATATAAGCGCTATTGCTATTTAACCACGATTTAGTAAATAACTCATGGCTAGTTGATTTTGCACACAGAAAAAAACCCTGTGAACCACATATTGCCAATGTTCTCTCAACACCTCCCTGGAGGTCCCCCTTTAAAAAAAAACCATTTAAATAAAAAGAGAACTGCCCTGCAAAGCTCCAATTCTGGGCACAGAATATATTTGTGGCAAAACTGCCTCTTTCTTAAGTTTCACATTCTGCAAAGCCATCGAACAGCAGTAAGGAACAGGGCTAGGGAATGCTTCCCCTTTCTTCAAAAGGCAGATAGGACTTTGTTTTCCCTTGAAGAGGTTTCGCTTCTCATGCCAGAAGCTTCTTCAGCTCTGGCTGGATGGTGGGGAACAGAAGGATTTATACTCCTTGCAGACAGCTGGTCATTTGCATCCTTTTAGAGGGTCGTTGAGGCCACTTGGAGGTGTATCTGTGTCCTCAGGGTCACCTGAGTGGTGCAAATGGGTGTGGACCCTTCTTGGAACTGCTGAAAGGAGCTGGGTTGTAGACTGGAGATAAGAGGATGCTGTAGTATCCCTCCCTGTTTCTAATTTCTGAAGCTCGGGGAGGAAAACACAAAAAGCAGCATTTTTCCTTCCGTTCTGAGTCAGAGGAAAAGAGGAACTTTGAACTCCAACAACTCTCACCCAGACGGCTGCATCAGAATCAGAACAGAGTTGGAAGGGACCTTGGAGGTCTTCTAGTCCAACCCCCTGCCTAGGCAGGAAACCCTACAGCACTTCAGACAAATGGTTATCCAACATCTTTTTAAAAACTTCCAGAGTTGGAGCATTCACAACTTCTGGTGGCAAGCAGTTCCACTGGTTAATTGTCCTCACTGTCAGGAAATTTCTCCTTAGTTCCAGGTTGCTTCTCTCCTTGATTAGTTTCCACCTATTGCTTCTTGTCCTGCCCTCAGGGGCTTTGGAGAATAGCTTGACTTCCTTGACTTGTCCTCTCTGTGCAAAATGTGGACTTTTGCTGTCTTCAGAAGAGCAGCCTTTTGTCTTTCAAACGGACTGCTGAATCTAGTCCTGATAGATTTGTTCTCCTGTGTTGTGTTTGAGGAGTCCTTTCTCCAATGGACAGGTCTCAAAACACCCCTCACTGCCTTGTACTGCATTCGGCAGAGTTTGTGTCTGGGTGTTTTATCCTTGGGGGTCCCATAAGCTTCCAACTTTGGGGGCTTAAAAGGGGTGGGGGGAAGCACCTTTGGGACAACCATGACCTGGATAACGGAGAATCTCCTTAGACATTCCCCTCTGAATGAATGAGAAACTGCTGGTGACCTTCTACCGCTGCACCATAGAGAGCATCTTAACTTCCTGCACCTCTGTAGGGTTTGCCAATTGCACAGGAGCTGATAGGAAAGCACTCCAGAGGGTGAATGTCATTGCCCAGAGGATCATGGGTTGCCCTCTCCCCTCTTTGGAAGAGCTTCATAGCTCCCGCTGCCTTAAGAAAGTTCAAAACATCCTCAAAGATCCATCTCATCCTGGGAACCCTTTTTTTGAACTATTACCATCTGGCAGCCGGTACAGAATAATAATAAAAACAAGGACAAATAGGCTGAAAAACAGCTTCTATCCCAGGGCAGGAGCTCTGCTGAATTCTGCTCTATAGTGCAGTGTTGGTGCGGTGTCGGGGGTTTCCGGTTTCAAAGTGTGGAGTGTGAAGGATGTGTGTTTGTGTTTATTTTCATGGTCATGATGTGCACAGAAGAGGGTGTTAGATTTCGTTGTATGAGGTGCTATGACAATAAAGTAAACTAAACTGATCCTGAAAAGCAAATCCAGAGCCTGTTAAGCAAAGCTCCCGAGATCGAAACTGGATTCGAACAGATGACCGCCACAAACAAGCTGTGTTGCAAAAATCTCCTTTTTAATTGGTCCCTGAAAGACAAAGCAGTGGTGAGCAGCCCACGAGGCTCCCATTCTGCCAGAAATCCCCCCACAAATGCAGTGTTTTCTCAACCTTGGTCTCTTTTTAAAAGATGTGCACTACAATTCCCAGAATTCCCCCGGGCAGCTTGTTGAAGGCCACAGCTTTTAAAGGGGCCAACACCCCTTTAAACCACATCTTTTAAAGGAGCCAACGCTGGGAAGCACTGGCCCTTTGTGGCATAGGTTAGAGAACAGCAACACCCTCACAGGCGCACGATGGAAGCCAACACCTCGTCGCTCCCAGCAAGGATGTTGGTGCCACTTGACCCCAAAGTCTCCCAGCTTGAAAATGAAGGGGGCAGGCAGGTCCTCGAAGCACCTCGCAAGCTCGCCTGCCTTCCTGGCCTCCCTTCCCCACTTTGATTTAGACTTGATCTCACCAAGGCTTTCCCCAACAAGTGGGGAGAGACAGCCCTTTAAGGCTGAAGACTTCAACTCCCAGCATTCTTAAGCCAACATGCTAAGAATGCTGGGAAATCCCACCCCAACCTCTGGGGATCCCAAAGGAGAGCCAGGCTTGCTCCAAAAACTTGCCAAGACTTGGCTTTGATAACTTTTCAAAGAGGTTTTAAAAAAAAATCGCTCTTGGCTCGATCTCTACAACACACCAGGTGGGCAGATCTATTCTGTAAGCCCAGGGCTCCAATTCATTCAGGTCCCAGCACAGGGGATCCATTTTTTCCAGAGTGCATTTGAGTCCGGCGTGCAATTTTGCCTGCTGTTGTTTTCTGAACAGCAGTGTGTAAACACAATTAGTGGCTGACTCAGGTCTACGCCTTTAAAAAAAAAAAACAACAGCTGCCAACCACTTCCCCCAACTGTGCTCCTGTGGGTTTAACTGGCTTCAAAATGAGAACTACCTAAAGAGAACTACATGGATTTTCGAGAAAATCAAAGGCTACAAGTCCCCTTCAGAGAGAGAAAGAGGAAGGAAGGAAGGAAGGAAGGAAGGAAGGAAGGAAGGAAGGAAGG